TACCGATTACTATATACCCTCCCACTTTTTAAGCGGGGGGTATAAATATTATATTTAATGAGCATCAAAAATGGGCACCGTCCTTGGCGACAAGAAATTATAAAAAATAATGTACTGTTTGCCAAATTTCAACAAATACTCATTGATTATGTGTGATTGACTTGAAGACATATACACTGTAGCAAATTTGACAGACATCAATTTTGGAATAATTCACATTGTTTTAAAGAAACATTTGACAATAAAAAAGCTTAGTACTCATAGGTCACTCATGAGTGATGATAATGAGTGAAAACTACAGCGTGTAAGAATATCTAAACAATTATTTTAGAAAATCAGAAATTGTAGTTATCCACGTTTGTCTGAAATTTAAACAGATAATAATGACACTTAAATATATTGCTATAAACCCTAAAAACAAAATTTAAAACTAGAGGTACTGTGAGCAATGAGCTCACTAAATGATACCCCCCGCCTCCCATATGGTTATAACTGATGACAAAGTCCATGTTTTGCCGTGGCCGGGAAACCCAAAATATGTGTCAGATCAAAAAGTAAAATAGGAGGTGCACAATGGCAATATGTAATAAAGATTCTGTGAAAGTTTCATTAAATTTCACTCAGTCGTTTAAGAGGAGTTGCGGATAAGAGATGGGTACCCTAAAGCGTAACAGACGGACGGACGGAATTAACGATTACTATATACCCTCCCGCTTTTCAAGCGGGGGGTATAATAATATATACTTGACAAAAACAGCAAAGATCTGAAAAGAGCAAGAATTGCAAGACCACAAAGACAGATTTTATGCCATGCTTTTAAATATTAGTGGTCTTGTTGTTCAAATTCGTATTCGGGGAGGTAGTTTAAAATCTGGAAGAACCTAGAAAGCAAACTATTTACAAAACTAGAGGTACTGTGAGCGATGAGCTCACTAAATGATACCCCCCGCCTCCCACATGGTTATAACTGGTGAAAAAGTCCATGTTTTCCTGTGGCCGGGAAACCCAAAATATGTGTCGGATCAAAAAATAAAATAGGAGGTGCACAATGGCAATATGTAATAAAGATTCTGTGAAAGTTTCATCAAAATTCATTCAGCGGTATGAGAGGAGTTGCGGATAAGAGATGGGTACCCCAAAGCGTAACAGACGGACGGACGGACGTACAGACGGACGGAATTAACGATTACTATATACCCTCCCGCTTTTCAAGCGGGGGGTATAAAAATCGAAAGGCTTATGAGAGGAAGGAACCAGAATCAGGAATCCACTACATTATAAATTTCTTCATGACTGCGTCCAAACCCGCAAGCCCTGGCGACTGAAGGAGTTTTGGGGATAAACATAAAGTTAATGTTTTGTCACACCAACAATATTCGCCAGATCTTTTACCGTTTGACTTGTTTCATTTTCCAAAGTTGAAAAAACACCTTTCAGAAAGAAGAAACAAGTCCAGGAAATCATAGGAACTGTCATATTCCAGTATACGAATGGCCATACTCAAAAATGAGTTCTAAAAACAGTCAGGCATAGGATAAAAATGTTACGGACGGGTATTTTAAATAAAAGAGATTATTTTAAAAAATCATTAAGATTAAATCATTGAAAAGCGTTTGTGATTCTTTCCGAGCATCAAGGACATTATTTATTGAATAGCCCTCGTACAAATGTAGACCAAAAATTTTAATGCAATCTTTTTAAAAAGTTGTAAGAACAAATTTCTCACCTTTGTATGCTCCAGTTGAATGTTGTTAACAAGTTTGATGAAAACAACGAAATGGTAGATACACATGTACCTTTGTTTTTCCGGCACTTATATTGCGCAGCCTTTTCCTGCTTTACAGAGCAGTTGAGTTGTCATATCTTCGCTATAATCGTAATTTTCATAATAATATATTATGTCTTTCTCTGTATGATACAGATATCTTAAAAGAAACACATGATTTTGACTTAATAAGTAACTTTAATTATCTTCCTTTGAAAGAGGTTGCAACATTTTCTATGAACAAAATTTTGTTATATAAAGTTCAAAAAAAAAAAAATAAAATCTTCCCTTAAACTGAATTCGATTTATACAAAATTTTATGAACATGTACATAGAATCTGAAATCTTAGATTAATACATATTTCAAGCAACTCTATATATCAGGAAAAAAATATTCGAAACTTAAATAATTTTAAAATTCAGAATGAAGATCGCTCAAGCAATATTAAATTGATAAAAATGTATCTAATTTTGGCAATACAGCTATTTTGATAAAAATAAAAAATATTAAACCCAAAAGCAAACATGTTTTCTTAATTTGCACTTTTATTTACAATTTATTACATTTTATACAGTGTTAATCTGCACTATGTCCCAAGTCAATCCCTGATCGTGGAGATCCTTCTCGCAGACCTTCGTGTATACCCAAAGCACGTAGAGTACTAAGTACGTAAGGTTATTTAATGATAATTTGGCAAATTATCAACGTTTCAAGCTTAGTTTTTCAACTTCTGTTTACATCCTTATAATTTTTGAAAGCTTTGAATTTATCTTGTCATATGTCAGCTAAGGAATGTTTAATGTTTTTGATATCTCTTTTTACAAAACAGTTTTTACAATAGTCCTATACAAGCAAGATTTTTCTTACCGAAACACTACCCACAAAACTAATTATTATATTTTTTTTTATTTATCATAAATTTTATGCTGAATTTTCCACTTAGGTAGTGATACAAATACTTGCAATATGTTGCTGATCGTCAGTTCCTAAAAATATGCACTGGTCAGTTGTACTAGTAATTCAAACTGGTTTGTTTAATAGCACTACTTTTGCATTGGTTTCTCTCACTTCTTCCTCAAGAACAGAAAAGCCATGATTATCATATTTATATGGAAGCATTCTCAGGTGGTGAAGATTCAAGTTTGTTCAGATCATGACCCTCAGGAGTAGGATGGGGCCACAATGGATTATTAAACTTTTACATAGGAATACATAGGAAAAACTTTATTCTCAAGAACGGCAAAGCCAATGTCGGTCAAATTTATGTGGAGTCATCTTCAGATAGTGTAGATTTAAGTTTGTTCAAACCATGACCCCCGGGGGTAGAGTTGGGCCACAATGAACGTTAAAACTTGTAGGAATAATTCACAGTCAAAAAAATATGTATGCATCCCTAGTTAGCGTAGAATCAATTTTGTTCATATCATACCCCTGTTCTTTCTAGGGGTGGGTCAGGGCCACTTATGCATTTTTAAAAGCTTTACAATACTGTATACTGATTTCTGGTTTTTTCCTAGCTATACGCGTAGCACTCAGGTGAACTATGTGCCCCTGGGCCTCTTGTTTTAATGTACATGATTGTACTTCTAAAGATATTTGCATTTGTGTTATTAAAGATGTTGCACTCGAGCATGCGAGTGTATCTTAAATATATTTTAGTGTTTGCGCTTTTATTCCACGAACAATTCTTACTTGATGAAGAGTGACAACTCTCACCTCTAAACAGGAAACCTGTAAATGAAATATCATTTGTCTTGATCTGAGATTTAAAAAAAGAATTCTTTGTGTTCGATAAAAGAGAACGAAAGTAACATCTAGTCTGGGAAATATTTCCTGATTTTTTTGAAAATACGCTCTGAAATATTTAGGGCTAAATGTGTTCATTCGGTACAAGATTTTTCATTTTACGCACGTTTTATTTTAGCTATTTCGGGTCATCGTTCAAAGGGATTTATGTGTGTTTTATTTATTTATTTTTTTTTAAATGAGCAAATATTGGCAAAAAAAAAAAAAAAAAAAAAAAAGAATAAACAAAAAAGACAAAACAGAGCAAAGACCCATATATAATTTAAAGGAACGTTTTTCTTATTGTATTTTGCTTGATAGTTGCTTGATAGTTGTTTTAAAAGTATACAGTATGAAGAGACGATATCACAATACACATGTATTACCTGTAAATGGCGGGAGGGAATCGATCAGTTTTTATTCGATTCTTGCTTGAGGCATTTATACATGTATCTAGTTAAAATCAGTGTACCTTTATTCCAACCGAGGGTCGTACCAGATTTTTGAAAGTGGGGGGGGGGGGCTCACTCATTTCCATTCTTGTCCAGATAAAGTTGATTTTTTTTTTCACATATATAAATCTGCCAAGGCAGTTTTTGTCTGCCATCTTTTTTGCTGATTTGTTATTTTTTACATTCTGGATTGTTTATTTGGATTTTCTTGATATAATATGTTACACTGGGGAGATCAACTAATGTTTTGTACAAATTTACACATTTTTTCAAGAGTGATCTCCCCTTTATCTGATGTATTTTATGATTATCTTTCGTCATTGATACATGTATAATAAATGACAAATTCAACCATCATATTTTGTGTTTGTGTTACTTTAATATGGATGTGATATGGTATACATAAGGTTATAGGTGTGTGCAAAAAAACTAGCTTCAGTGAACTTATAAAATTAGTTAAATTACACTGGAGAACATAAATATAAATCTTGTATATTTTTGAAATTAATTTTTCACATATCAAGTAATCCAAATTTGGTATCACACATGTAACTGTAAAATGATGAGTAAAAAAATTTCAGCTTATCTTAAACATTTATTTATTTATTTATTTTTTTTTGGGGGGGGGGGGGTCGCACAGTGCCCCGTATACCACCAGTTGTGACAGCTTTTTAAATTCAAACTTCTTATATAAAGAAATCGACTTAGGATGAAATTTTGTACAATCTGTTTAATTGGCAATCCCCGATAGTTTGCTGACTAAGATTATGTATGTACTTTAATTTTTCCCTCCTTCAGATTTTTGGTTGCCCGGGGATGTGCAGTTTTTTCTATTTATAGAGAAAAAATATTTAAAATAAACATAAATATACGTACGTGAAAGCAGATAAGTAAATGTTGAAATAATGTTTTATGTTTTATTACCAAATACATTGATCCGCTTGCGAAATATGTGTCACGAGTGAATTACCGCACTTGTAAAAGCCTAGTATTTATTGGCGCTTTAGAACTTCGATAACAAGGTCCCGTATTTACTCCAGTGAACAGGTAGAAAAAACAGCCAGGTAAGTTTCTATAACACGGGCATTGCATGTTTCATTTCTCGAAAGTCGTGTGTGTACAATTTATAAGATCTGATTATGAGAGAAAGTAATTTTAATTTATTTGCTAGGGATAAAGGTAAAACTGCTATTTGAAATGGTGGTTCATTGATTATCGATTAGTAAAATACAATGTACAGTCCAAGGTCGCAGGTGTAAATAATGAATTATTGAAAGCATAATAATTATGTTTCATACGGATACATTAGGGAGAACTTATCTTTTGTAATTCGTTTTATGACGGAGAGGAGAAATAATATACATGCAATTTAGAATAAACAGAAATTCATTTTGAAAAGTGATACGCATATCGATTGATCAATTACAAAGACATAGTTTCGTGTAATGTATTTATATTCAGTGACACACATTTAAGAAAAATCCCTTTTCTTGAATGGGATTTAAAAGTCGTCAAACTTTGCAAGATAAAGCGTTTGAATTTTTTAAAAGCAGTATTTATTTAAGGTCGTTCTACTGATAAAAAAGAATACAGATAAAACATTTACGCAATATTTAGCTGTATGTATATATAATTATCAAGACTAGCTTATATATCTATATAAGAATGAATTAATTACATTTTATAGTGTCATATACTGATCATGAACCGAACTACAATCATATCTTACTGCATGTAGATAAAAAAGATCTGCATTTTAAACTTTATCCTAAATTCAATCTGTTCTTATTTTCTATAGAATGATTAAACAGAAGCAATACGATTGGAAAGACAGCAATCTCGCCTTATTCGGATCCGACACGGAAAGACAGGTCAAAAGTAAGTCAGAAAAATGGAAGGGGTCCAAATTTTCTTCTTTTTTATTACTCTTCTGCCTTAAGCATATGCTAGGAAGTTAACGAGAATGTCTAATGCATGACTACAAGAACACCTTTCTCTAGTCATTTTTCGGATGTTAAGATAGGCATGTAATTAATGGTCAGTTATTTACTAACTAGAGAAACAAACTGTTGTTAAATGAATAAAATGGATAAACCACTTTATAAAGGGTTAGAAAAGGTGACCGTATCTAGTGTTACATTTCGATGCCTCCTTTTATTACATTATCATCGTTTATTTAATACGTTTGGGGGAATTTTTTTGAAGCACAGACCATGCAAGGGTACATTGTATACACGTATATATTTTTTATTTCCTTGAATTCTAAATTGAATTTTTTAAGTTAATATGACTCATTGTGTTATTTTGAAATTATAGGCTTATGTACAAGGAAAGGTTGTGAAATACGTCTGATTGCGTTTAGAGAGGTCCTCTTTTTCTGACGCATATAAATATTTATTTTCATAATAATGTTTACTATGAAGAATTTAAATACATATACGAATTCTTCCTTATAATGATAAAAACACCTATAGAGTATGACATTGTATTTTTACATACTGAATTGACAGACCCGATTTTAAAAGCCCTCGGACGTAAATTAATTTGAATTATTTTTAGGGTCACATACCTAATTGAAATTTTAAAAGGACATTTTTCTTAAACTTGTATTTAGTCAAGATAATACTGTAAATAAATAATGCATATTTTTGGTAATTATTTTAATAGAAAATATTTTCATAAGCATTTCCCTTAGTTGAACAGTTCCAATACAGAGAGAGAGAGAGAGAGGTTTTCAAGCGTTTTCACGATTTTGATATTTGATATTCCGTTCCAAAATCTTTAAAAAAGGCTTGGAAAGCCTGGAAAAGTTAAGATATAGGCCTATTGGACTAGCACTATTTTATTTTGAAATTATATCTTATTTCATTGTTTGAAGCACAAAAGAAAAACTTTCTTCGTACATTAATACATGTAACTTCAAATGTTAATTCCTAATCCTAGATGGGCTTTAGACGTCAGCTTTAATCAGGAAATACTTTGTACAGTAACTAAATTAGTTACAACGTATTCCATGTATGTATACATGCATTACATTGACATGTATAAATGTACGGAAGCAACCTATTCAGGATGAAGATAAGAGAGACTTTTTTGGGAATAGATAAATCGGATTAAAGAATGAGATATTAGTACCAGGATATGTAATAGGACACGTCACGAAAGGAGAAACTCCATAAAATTTATATTTCACATTATTTATATATATGCTTAGCAAAATTTTTGTTTACTAACAATTCCACTTGTAATACTTATGATTGTACGTTGCAAAATAAGATACAAACTTGACGAAAGTATTCTTTCTAATCAATCACAAAGAAATTGTGAAGAGACCGTAATCAATTAAAACAAGAGGCCCATGGGCCTTATAGGTCACCTGAGCATCATGCAACATTTTTACAACGATCGACTCTGGTTCATGTTTTAAACTAGAACGTCATGGCATGCACAATTTTGAAAGACGCACCATTGCTAATCATAACTAAACACTTAGCATGTTTAGTTTCGATACTTAATACCCATAGACAGAATAGGGGAACAAAAAAATGCATTTCGACTAATCAGTAATATTCAGCAATAATCAGTATAGTGCCACTACCACACATGAACCCCTTACCCTTGGTCCACACATTTCACAATTTTGGAAAAGGCACCCTTGCTTATCAAAAACATTTGATTGATACAAAGGATAAGATTTCAATCAATTAATTCATTTTCAGTATATAAGTAGAGCCCCCCCCCCCCTTGTATGGTACCCCTAACCCAGGGGCGTTGAAATTCACAATTCAGGAAGAATGGCCCTTGCTCATCAAAGCTATATAGGTAGTTCATCTGCTTAATACCCAGGAGCAGAGAAGAAGATTTTCAAACAATTTCTGCATTTTCTATATATAACCAATAGAGCCCTGCCCTAATAACAGAACCCCTGACCCTGGGGTCATAAAATTCACAAAGGTTTTCTTCCACATCATAACTATGTACTAAGTTAGTTTATTTAATACCCAGGAACAGAGAAGAAGATTTTTAAAGAAATAATGTATTTTCACTATATAATCAATAGAGCCCCACCCTAACACCAGAACCCCTGACCCTGGGGCCATAAAAATTCACAATTTTGGAAGAAGCATTCTTACTCATCATAACTATATATTTAGTTAGTTAATTTAATACTCAGGAGCAGAGAAGAATTTCAAAGAATTAATGTATTTTTACTATTAAGCCCCACCCTAACACCAGAACCCCTGACCCTGGGGCCATGAAATTCACAATTTTGGAAGAAGCTTTCTTGCTCATCATAACTATATACTTAGTTAATTCATTGAATACCCAGCAGCAGAGAAAAAGATTTTCAAACAATTTCTGCATTTTCTCTATATAATCAATAGAGCCCCGCCTTAACTCCAGAACCCCTGTCCCGGGGGCCATAAAATATTCACAATTTTGGAAGAGGCATTCCTGCTCATCATAACTATATACTTAGTTAGTTTGTTGAATACCCAGCAGCAGAGAAGAAGATTTTCAAATAAATTCTGCATTTTCTCTATATAATCAATAGAGCATAACCCTAACACCAGAACCCCTGACCCTGGGGCCATGAAATTCACAATTTTGCAAATGGCATTCTTCCTCATCATAACTATATACTTAGTTAGTTTATTTAATACCCTTGAGCAGAGAAGAATATTTTTAAAGAAATAAAGCATTTTCACTATACATTGTATAATCAATAGAGCCCCGCCCTAGCACTAGAACCCCTGACCCTGGGGCCATAAAATTCACAATTTTGCAAAAAGGCATTCTTCCTCATTATAACTATGTACTTAGTTAGTTTATTTAATACCCAGGAGCAGAGAAGAAGATTTTTAAAGAAATAATGCATTTTCACTATATACTAACAATTTTGGTAGAGGACTCAATGGTCGTTACATTCATGCTTACAGTTTGACTGCTTGATGTCCAGGAGTAAAGAAGAAGATTTTTAAAGATTGCACTAATATTAGTGGTTTTGGCCCCACCCCTCAGGCCCCAGAGGGGCAGGGACCATGAAATTCAAAATTTTTGTTCTTCTTTACCCATAGATGCTTTATATAAAATTTGGTGGAAATTGGTTGAGTGGTTGCAGAGAAGAAGCTGAAAATGTTCAAATGTTAACACACGACGAATGACGCAAGACGACGGACGAAAACAGATAGCAATAGGTCACCTGAGTTTACTCAGGTGACCTAAAAAAATTAACAAAGAATACAAAGCAGTGACCCCCCCCCCCCCCAAAAAAAAATCCTACCAAGTTAAAAAAAAAGCTAACTTTAAATTCACTTCTGAATGGCTGTCTTACAAAACATTAACGATTAGGTCATTTTAAATATTTTCTTTTTATTTCTTTCTCAGAATAAATTCCGTATTCCATTAATTATGATTTAACCCTCCCCTTCCCTTTTCCTTTGTCAAAATTACGTATCGACGTCAACCTATTATATTTATATTCCTTTCAACAAAATTAATTCAACTAAAGACCATAAGAACGACTGGGGAATGAAGCCTGTTTTTCATCAATAACATGGTAAAAATGTTGTATACTGTCATTTTTTAAAACAAAATAAAATTCAATTTTGCAGAGGAGTCAGCAGAACAGGAAAAGGCCTGGAAAAAGGCGGGAAAGAAATGCGGTCTTCAAATATGGCGGATTGTGGTAAGAGAGAGAGAGAGAGAGAGAGAGAGAGAGAGAGAGAGAGAGAGAGAGAGAGAGAGAGGGAGACATTTATGATGTCTACAAATGATGTCTTAAATAATAAATCCAATATATCAATGTTTTGTATTTGTGCGTTACTTTACTTTATTTTAAACATATTTTATTGAATAACACAATAAGGATTGGACAACAGGCAAGGCCTATGTACACCCTCTCCTTGTATAATAGGTCAAGATACAATATAGTAAGTAATAATACATGTACATGATAATCAATAAAATTATAATGAAAAATAAAGATATACAATCAAGTATTATTTATCAATATTATATTTCAAAAAAAGATGACAACCCCCTAACTGTATACATGTTATTTACATACTGTTCCAGCTTAAAAATAGTACAAATATTTGGGAAAAATTATGCATATAATAGAGTATTTAATATAATAGTTTGCCTAATTTAGTCTCTTAGAAGATTTAATAAATTCTTGTACATATGAAAATATTTTGCAATTTGTTTGATAAGAGTATTGCCATTTTCCTCTTAGCAGAGTGTCGAGTTCAAAAACAACATCAATATCATTTAATTTTTTTTACCAATAAGTTTCTTTCAACATTATATGAAGGGCAGTTGATAACATAATGTTCAGTATTTTCAGTATGAAATCAACACTTTTGATATGATTGAATATCGGATTAAAAAATGATTTTTTAGATGTGCATTAAGATTGCTAGCATTGTTTCGCAACTGACAATGCAAGTTATTTTCTTTTCTATTACCAAAGTTAAAGTACCTACAAGGTGCGTTATTTTGTCATCCATGCTGTTATTTTCTTTTAAATCCATAAAAAACTAGTTCAGTTGTCTTGGCTTCGGTATAAATAAAAATAACAAAGGAACATAGTAATATTTTGCATTTGTGCGTTTTTTTTTGTTTTTTTTTTTGTCATCCATGCTGTCATTTTCTTTTAAAACAATATGAGCTGCACGTTTGACATCGGAAAAAAATGTTGTAAATTTGTAATTAACTATTTCAATGACAGAAAAATAGAACATTTATAAACTTCTGTTGTTCATCTTTGCTATGAAAGAAATGTTTATACGCATTGAATGAAACAAAATTGAATTATTGTCGTCCTGTACAATAATGATTTCTTATATAATACTGTATATTCGGTTGTACAGACATATTTCTTCTGAAACATTTTTAAATTTTATTTTGGTTTTATTGATCATAAGGGTTTAGATTACATACAAATTAATCATAATAACAAATTTTACCAGCAAAATAAAATTCTCAAAAATGCAGCTCATATTGCTTTAATCCATCAAAAAACTAGCTCAAATGATTTGGCTTCGGTATGAATAAAAATAACAAGGGAACATAATAATATTTTGCATTTGTGCGTTATTTTGTCATACATAAGATAAAGAAATACAATGTGCATGCAAATTGTTATGCCATACTAGTATTTTTAAGAATTTTTATTTCTTGGTATTCTATTTTTAAAACTTGATCAACTGATACTACTGTCACAGTCTTGATTTACACTGGTCACAATAACACTTCATTGTGTGCATAAATTTGAAGTTACGCATACAAGACAACAAAAAAATCTATTCTTACTGTCTTTTCAAACTGTGCACCATTTTAATGTAAATTTTAAAGGAATGTATTAAAGGCTAACATATCAGGTTTTGAACTTCTCACGTTTTTCTCTCACAAAAACATGGATATTTCAAAAAATATTCACAGGGGGAAAAATACAGCGGAGTATAGTTATGAGTTCTGCATATTATTTGTTAAAATTTCAAAATGGTAACTTTTCAATCATTGTATTCTTTGCGTTTTTTCTGTTTTTTTTTTTACACAGTCACAGATATGCATTACGAGAATTTTCCACTGGCTATTTTTTTAAACCTCAAAGTGCATCTGAGATGATGTCATGTCATTTACCTGCATTTAAATCTTGGTCTTAATTACAACTCATCAAGTAGGACTAAATCCATATGTAAATCTTACCATCTTTATATTAAGAAAGAGAATAATAAATAAAGATAATGAAAAGGAAAAATAAGGCCTAGAGACCTACTTATGTTAGTCGTCTTTTTTCCCCAATAAACGAATATGTACATGTAGATAAATGAGTAGCAACCATCAATTTGTTTTTAGCCAAAAGTTAATGATATTCGTAATGTTCGACGTAGTATAGCTTTGTCGTTTTTACGGAAGCTTTTGTTTTATAAAACATTATTTCCTTATTTAACATATGTAGCCCACCTATCCCAAACCGCTATGATTTGAAGAGAAAAAAATCAAGTTTTATCGGGAAACTTCCATATTAATCAGATATTTGGAAACCAAGGGCCTCCACCGGTTCAGTTGGTCGTGTTCATTTTGAATTATATCATCATGAATATCCTTGTTCAATTCTTCCATCTTACTTGATACATGTGCATATTCCTCCCTTGTTCAGTTATTTTGTTCATTATTTGATTAAATTATCGTGTATTTCATTGTAAAACTTTGTCTCCCCCCATGTAATTCCACCCTGTCAAATATGACTTGAAAAAATTGAACTACATGTATCGCTATAAAAAAAAAATAAAGAAAAATACCGTATGTTTCCTATTTATCATCTCCCGAGTTTCATTTCATGTGAATTTGAATTTATTCTTTTCTACAAAAAGTAAATTATTTACTCACATTTGTAAATGTCTAAAAAGGATTAAATAATCAAATGTTTATTTTATTTCCCCTAGAAATTCAAAGTAACGGAGTGGCCACTTGAGGATTATGGAAAGTTCTACGATGGCGACTCTTACATAATTCTAAACGTAAGTTTCTTGATTTTATCAAAATATTTATTTATAGATGTATGAGTAGCACTGGTTCATTTAAAATAAACACTGGTGCGTCTAAATATTTGTACTAGCTCTTTACATGTACAAAACGCATACAAGGATGGCCGGTGTCTAAAGCTCTCTATTAAAAAGTTTATTCTTCCATGAAACAAGCATATTGTGGATATAAATTACTCGTATATAATGATGCATATACTAGTAGACCAAATTCCTGTGATTCATTAGCCTGTATATTTTCTAGGATTGCTTTCATTCATTAAAGTGTATGTAACATTTATCTAATTGTTTCTCCTGTGTTTTATCTAAATACAAACTTGAATCACGACTGCGAGCCATCGAAACTAATTTGCATGCAATGCATATATATTGAAAACAGGAATTCTATTACCATTATCCACAAAAAGGAAATAGAAAACCAACATAAATATCCACGCACGAGGTTATCTTTCGGCCATCGGTTTCTGGTCTTGTCTTTGTGTAATGTTTCTATCTATATGCAAAACGAATCTGCAAGTTTAATTCATTTTTTCTTTCCCAAATAAAATTCTTTCCTCTTAATTTATTTCTCTTATGTAGAATAGAAAGCTTTTATTATTACACTTGTAAATAAAGAAGTCGATTGGGTACATAAAAGTAATAAAGAGAATTTGTTTCGAATAAGTTAGATTTTGCATGACTTTCGAAACAAAAGAATGCTAAAATTCAAATCAAAATGTGTTTGTTAAACAATGATGCCCTGCATGAGAGCTCAAGGCGAAGATTTAAGTTTTTCAAAAGCAGTCAAATTCCAAGATATTTAAAGGAAAAAAAGGTCTTGTCACAAGAAAAAATCCTCATAATAAGAAAGACCTAGCAGAAACTGTACAGAAGTTTTTGATAACGTTAATGTTTTTCAGAAGTCGGTCAGTCTCAAATGACAATTTCAAAGGGTCAAATTGTTGGTCCTGACAGAAGGACTGTAAGATTTTGATCTTAAAAAATATATTGGACCAATGAAAAATATGAAAGCCCTAGCAAGCACCAATTATTATTCAAAAGGTAATGCCAGGGTTATAGAACCCAAAATTAGGTCAAGCAAAAAGGGTAAGGTCACATAGTCAAAATTGTTGGTAAGATCTTGTCAAATGGAAAATATCTGCCTTCTCTGATAGTTGTGTTAGTATTCTTAAATATTTATAAATTTTGAAATCGTGTATCCTTCAGACTTACAAAGATGACTCGTCAGAAGCCCTGCAGTATGATGTACATTTCTGGATCGGGAAGTACAGTACACAGGTAATACATACATATAATGTGATGTATTAATACTGCAATTATATTATTCTGAAAGATAGATACAGGGCATATGATTTATAAATTGAAAACACTGTGCATAAATGTAAAGTAAAAGTAAAGTACATATACATCACAGTACCTCTGTATGCATACACGCACACTTAAAAAATACAATTTAACCCATAATTAAAGTGAAAATACATATTAACAAAATGCAAAGTAAAAATAAGTAAAGCACGCGGGAAAGATTCAAAGCGGTTCGAAGTTAAACTAAAAAAAAACAAACAAAAACAAAAACAACAACAATACAACCCTCTGGTAGATTGTATAAAAACACAACTTACACTGAACAAATTTTAGGATACTTGAAGTACAAAATAAAGTTACAAAGAAGTACAAAGGTTATAGATGAAATATAACATGCCAGTAAATTAAAAAAGACTACATGTGAACAGAACCATACAGTTTCGAACGTATACAGACAGTGCAGCAAAATTGTCAATTAGCACAGAACTACAGAGAATCAATTAAGATGCAACAAAAATTAAGGTTGAAACGGATCATTAACAACGTTCTTTGATGCAGATACATCACGAATTAAAAAAAATAATATAAAAGGGTTACCCTTAACAAAATACACATATTAAATCACATGGATTCGTTTACATAACCCAGAACTTTGATATATCTGATGGCACTTTTGAGTCTGCTTATATATTTGTAATCGGAGGCCAGTGTTTGCTATACTAAGTGAAAACTCTTGATTACATTTGCTTGAAAAGTTAATGTACACTGCATGAATGTTACAATCTTCTAAAGATTTTCTGAACCCAACGTTTGAAATCTAGTATTATCATTGCAATGCTTATGTCTCTAACATGTTAATTTAAATAGGATGAATATGGAACGGCTGCATATAAAACCGTGGAGCTGGATACCTATCTAGACGACGTCCCAATACAACACCGAGAGGTCCAGGGTCACGAATCCGAGTTGTTCCGAACGTACTTCAAAGAAATTACGTAAGTTACAATAGAACTTTTGTCATGACACACATTTACAATTACATATTTTCGTAGTTAAAGTAATAAAAAATTGATCTGATTGACCTCATTAATAGATATCTCCATGGCGGAGCGGATAGTGGATTCCGACAGGTCAAACCAGAGGAATACACACCACGCTTGTTTCATTTCCATGGCGACAAATTTGGTGTCACAGTTAAAGAGGTACATTTTTTGAATAAAAGAATCAGTAAAAAAAAATGTGGAAATCCAAAACTGGGGTAGACTATACTTTAGCGGTCCCCAGATCCGCAAGATTGACGCGCTCATTGGACTATGACGCAACAACTATGTCACCCAACTGAAATGGGTTAAATTTGCACACTATTCGACTGATTAGGGTTAGTCTTGCACCCACCTGAGAGATTAGGGATAGTCCTTGCGCAAGTACTCGACTGATTAGGGTTAGTCTCGCATTCATCCGAGAGATTAGGGGTTAGTCCTCGAACATTATTCGACTGATTATGGTTAGTTTAGCATCTGCCCGGGAGATTTCGTCTAAACGTCTTAGTCCCTGCATACCATCCGATGGTTTTGGGTTAGTGACTCGTTCTATCAGTTAAGTTAAGAAATTCAGTTGTTTCTATAATTTTTCGAAGAGTTCCATAATTCAGCTTGAAAGGCATTTCATTATGTTAACATGGAAGAATGGCTAAGTCCGAAAGAAATGACACTAAGCATGCGCCGCACGCGCTTCGCTTAGAATTATTCTTCGTCGATTTTTTTCCATAAATAAACACTATTTATTAATTTTTTTCAGCAAACGAGGTAAAAAAAACTCCGTTTAAAAACAAAGTTTTAAACTAAACTTTTAACCGTGGAACTCGGTTTTGGGGTCAAAAGGCCAAGAAACCTCGTATTAAATTTTTTTTTTCGATCGCTCACGCGATCTCATATATATTGAAGTCGCCTTCGGCGATACTTCATTTTAGTGCGTTTTCTGGGGACCGGTAAAGTAACGTTAAAGCTTAAAGCAATATGAGCTGCATTTTTGGGAATTTCATTTTGCTGGTAAAATGTGTTATTATGATTTGTCTGTATGTAATCTAAACTCTGAAGATCAAGAAGACCAAAATAAAGTTTTAAAATGTTTCAGAAGAAATATTTCTGTACAACCGAATATAAAGCATTATATAAGAAATCATTATTGTACAGGACGACAATAATTCAATTTTGCTTCAATCAAAGCTTATAAAAAGTTCTTCCATGGCAAATATTAACAACAGAAGTTCATAAATGTTTTATTTTTCTGTCATTGAAATAGTTAATTACAAATTTGCAATTTTTTTTCCGATGTCAAACATGCAGCTCAAATTGCTTTAACATTTAAGAAATTTTAATTGAGGAAGAATTTTTTAAAGTAGTATAAGGATCTGTCTTTATAACAGGATATATTTGTATTAGGTTGTCCGTGATAAGAGTCGACTAGATGATACGGATGTTTACATTCTGGATAAGGGCCTGACGATCTACCAATGGAACGGCCAAGGCTGTAATAAGGATGAAAAATTTAAGGTACACATTGTATACTTAGTCTAATTATTTAATTACTAGTATTTATTGAATATAACATGAAATAGCTAGATTGTTTTGGATTCGTTTATATATGTATTTATTCCAACGTTAAAAAGTCCATTTAAAGAAAAAATATCAAAAAGTGAATTGCTAATTGTAAAATTATTCTATAATTGAAAATAGATATCTTATGAAATTTTTATCCCCCTCCACAATCCAAATTTTAAACTAAATAAAATCTACATGATACCTTAACTTCTTTTTGAAGGCTTTGCAGTATGTAAATAAGCTGAAGGCAGAGAGAAGTGGGAAACGGGTAGATGTTGAAGTGATTGATCAAAACTCTTCTGGACAAGATGAGGTACATACTGTAATTATATTGAGAAAAAATTCCATTATTCCCGAACCTATCACCTGGTCTATTTGTGTTACACGTCATGAAATGCTTAGAAATGGACTAAAACCATGCATGTGTTGTGGTCTACATGATTTAAATCTAACAATACTTGTAACTGTTACAGGATTATTAAAAAAACATCCCATTATTCCTGAATCATCTATCATGTGGTCTGTTTGCGTTACATTTCATCACATAGATAGAAATAGAAACACCTTTATTCAGATATCTAGAATCCATTTTATTCCTCCTACATATGTAGACTGAAACCAATATCGCATGTGTTTAAGAAAAACGTTTAACTTTGAAATTAATAACTATTAATGGAAGAAGCGTCCTTCATATAAAGGTTTGAATTAAACTGATTTTCAATTCAATAAATGCACATGACTGTATTTTAAACAAAAGAAAAGAGGGCGTTTAACAAAAAGACAGTTTGGAGCGTAATTACTAACGATATATTTGACAATTTTAGGAAGAATTTATGCGTCAGTTAGATGGTGGAAAAGAGGAAGACCAGTTTGACAGTTCATCTGATTTCGAGGCTGTGGACAAAACAAAGGAATTATTCCGGTCAGTGATATTTTTAAGATACCCTCATCCAGTTCCATTGCAAAAAAATCAAATTAGTTGCTAATTTTGAAGATGTACATGTAGCTTAAAAAATAGGATTTTCCCATTTTTTTTTTATATTTCAATTAATTTGAAAAGGAGGTACATATTACAAATGTGAATTAAAAGATACTTTATTTAAAAAGAATATACAACTTTTTCAAGGGTGCTGTTCAAATTGATATGAAAAACTCAGTTCAAGAAAAAATGAAAGAGAAATGTTGTGTAGTTTTATGTTATAAAAATTTTAAACGCCTTTTTGCACCTAATGGAAAACGGTGTGTTTGAAAGGAGTCGATAAACTGGGTATGAAAATGGAGCTCATTTCTACAAGCAAATAAAATAGATTTTTTTTCTCTTGAAAACAGCTTTATGGATGGTGAAATCTAAGAGTTATCAAAAACAATGTATTAACCCACAAAATAGCTGGATTTTTTTTTTGTATTAATAGAGATTTGTTCTGTACAATTGAACAGCATTAATGGGAATTAGGGACCAGTAAATTGCCCTTTAGACCATCTATGAGAAATTCATCTTGATTAATGCTATTGGTATTCTATTTACATGTAATGGGAACAGTATCATTATGTTCTTTGGAGTTTAGCTTACATTTATTTTATTTCACGTTGGTACAGCTAAATGAATGGAACCCTAAAACATTAATGCTGCCAGATCAGAATATTCTTGCAAAGCGTGGTTTGATTTGGAACAATCACACATTTTTGCCTTAACGTTTATCTAGCATTAGCTTACACAGATAAAGTTCATGTATTTGCAAAAATGACAATAAATTTACTTACCTTAATGAAATTTGTAGACAATTAATCCATGCAATCTCTGATTTTTGTATTGTAGATTGTCAGATGCCGATGGATCTATGAAGTTCACCCAAGAAAAGAAAGGAAAAGTATCAATGGGTGACTTCGACAGCAACGTAAGACAATATTCCAAAATTATGTTAACTCGTATTCTTTTGAATTTTTCCTGAAAAATAATAAATGAAAATCCTTCTTTATTATTATTTTTATTATCTATTTCCTTATCTATTGATAATTATTATTTGCAATGTTTATTGTCTGGCTTCAAATATTATACAAATGTAAAAATTAATTATGTTCACATACATTATACTTTGTAGTTAAGATAAATTCCATACCTGAACATCTATACACAAGAAATTAACTTTGTCGTTGTTTTTGTCTACATATGAAATACTTTAAAGTATATTATATGTCTTTTCTAGAAAAATGCACGTTATTTGATCGAGATAACTCTCTCTCTATTCTTTACATCACTCATATATATCATGGAAAAAAATAAATATCATTGATAACATTCTAATAGAACAAACATTCTCAAACGTTTTTGATGGAAGTTTCATGAGTGTATTAATCAAAACACAGCACACACATGCATAGTTTTTGGTGACAAATAGTTTATATAGCAAAGAAAATGTGTACGAGGGATATTTTAAAAAAATACCACTATATTCAACAGGATGTGTTTATATTTGACACCAAAGATGAACTTTTCGTTTGGATTGGAAAAGCAACCACGCCAGCAGAACGCAAGAATGCAATGACATATGCACATGTAAGTAGCACATGTAATGTTACATGATATAATTCTCCCCACGTGATTTCAGCAGAACATATTTTGAAAATGCAGACTAATAGTCGGTAAACACATTAATATTTTCTGAACAATAACTATTTGCATGCAAGATCAAAAGGAAATTTCAATTACTCTATCAAATTTCATTGATCAAATGTTCGATGTATTAAACATGAAAAAAGCATGAAATTAATCGTAATGTGTTTGTCTTTTGTTTATAGAACTACCTTATGAAAAGTGATCACCCTCTTTTGCCCATCAGCTGTTTAAAAGAGGGGAAAACAACACCCAAATTCACAGCTGCCCTGGCTGCATAAACTCGCATCTACATTTATCATAACATCAGCTGATGCCTTACTGTTATACTTGTGACCTTAATTCATGACTTTTGTATCAGTTCATATTATTAACAGAAATTATTTTGTACATTACCATTTAGTTAAATATTATTCCATTATTTTTTGTTACTTTTTTCTATATATGTAAATGTTATATGATAAAAAGTCTTCATTTGATTCAAGATACATGTAGTTCAAAAAACCAGTGAAATAACCAGAATATAATGTGACACTTTAATAAAAGTATCTTTGATAGCATAATATATATATGTATACATGTATCTGAATGATAGATACGGATATATTACAGATGAAATAGAGATACAATGATTAGGGATGACGAAGATAGTTAAGCTTCATTCACAAAGCAGTAGCAGATCTTTTACTTGCCAGGTCTAATGTACCTCTCTTTTATCAACATCATACAATCTTGAACAAATTTTAATTGTTTAAACACGTAACAATAGCTTTCTTGGTCTTTAAAGAACAAATGATGTACAAAAGGGATCAAACTTCTTTATGTAGAATACAAATGTCCCTACGAGATCAATAAAGCCCTTCGAAAAACACGAACACATGGACCAGTGGTCCATAATTTCAAAATCCCTGTCAAATGGTCATTTGTAATCCTTTTTAATCTGTTTATAGATTCCTGGCGTAGGAAAGAATTTTCATGCATGGTAAATGCTTTAAAAATTAAAGAAATAATACATTTTTCTTTATTATCAATAGTGTCGTCCAAATAAAAACCAAGGAACATCTAAATCAGGGATCATATTTCACAATTTCCCAATTTTCAAAGACTGAGGCATCCACGCTCATCATGTCACTGCAATTAGTTTATTTGATTTTTTACACGTTCCCAAAACAGTTTTCTTCAAACAGTATATATCTCATTATTTTAACCAGTAGAATTTTGAGATTTCCTTTATAAAGGTGTACGAGGGTTGATCCAAAAGTTCGTGGAATTTCTTCATATTTTATTTATTTTTCAGTGGAATTGGTTGAAAATTACAAATGAAAATATAGACACTCTTTAAATTAAAAAACATTTTTAATATTTTTGATAGTAACTTAATGGCAGTTGCCATAGAAACGGTTGTTTGGAAATGCGGGGGAGACATTAACGCGTTTATTATCATTTAAATTCTTAATTCGTGAAATACGAATTAAACCGCCCTATGTGGTATATAAAAGGAAAATTATTTCATTATTACGATTGCTTGATCTTTTATAAACCTTTGTGTAAGAGTTTTACTGATTTTACTGGATATTTAGTTTATAAGTTGATGATTTATTGCTCATCTTTAAGTTGTTAGTTAACGTCAAATTTTGGTCAAGTCACACGTTTTGTGAAAATCCCCGGATCACTATATCTTAAACGCGTATATTATTGACATAGGCTTGGGAAAAATGCATTTAGTTACTGGTTTTCCAGTGGCATAAGAAATTTAAGAAAAATAGAACTTCCATGGACGTTGATAAAAGGTGTGGTTGCTTTTTAGAGGCTCTGTTTAAGTACGTATCCCCCAGACAAATTAAAAGCGTTAATGGACGTTGTCGGCTGCCGTTCTGATCTTGACATTGCTACTGAAATTGGAATTCACATGGAAAGATGGGTAGTGTTTGAAATATGAGTAAAAAATGAAGATAAGTTGGTGGAAGAGGATATCCAGGCTTTTGTTGAGAAAAAAAATGGAGAAAAAGACAGCATTTTGTAGAATTACTTATTATAATTGGACATTTGAGAGATGCTTTTATAACGTGACGTGACATATCTAACTTGACGTTTTGTCGAAGTCTCCCCCGCTTTCCCAACTATCCATTTTCAGAAAGCTCGTGTGACCTCATTGGTGATTGGAAAGTCGTGAAATTTTCCAATATTGTTGCATTATGACTCTATATTATGAATATGCCTGTTGATTGATTTCATCAAATCACGATAAAATTTTAGAAAGAAATTCCACGAACTTTTGGATCAACCCTCGTAAATACTGAGCTTATCTGTTTGATTTTCATTAATATATGGTACATGGCATTTAACCCTTAGACAAATGTTGAAACACAACATAGTATTAGTGAACAGAAACCACTAATGTTTACTTCTTTGGATAAAATACGTGTAGATAACATGTTTAAATAATTTATCTTGGCTTTTAAAATCTTAAGAATCCTTGAATTGATTACAAACTGAGTAATATATTGTAAATTTTAATTTATTGGAATTTGGATCCAAGGGCAGATATCTCCAACTGCAGAAAAATACCAAAGAATCAAAACCTTTAACTGTGCATCATAGATAGGAGTCGTGTTCATCTTTAATACCAAGAAGTAGAGAGCAAAATTGTTATAGAATGAAACATATGGAGATAACAAACGGTATTCAAGATCAAAAGTCCATAAAGCAATACAAAATATGAGCAGAGAAAACACGGACGTCCAAAATATTAGAGGTGGGATAAGATGCAATGGAGGAGTGAGCATACCCTGCCCACCGGTCACACCCGTCGTGTGCCCCTTGTCATGATAGGGAAATCACAGAAGAAGTCCGTCGTAAATTCAGTTTATAAATAATGGACAAACAATTATTATTAAAAAAAACGTCAGTCAGCATTTGACTCAATTCTAAATTTTATTTTCTGAAAAGGTCATTGTATCGACCACAGAACTTACGAAATGATGCCTTTAAACGAGACTGCTAATATTCTTCTTTCATCAACTTGTTTGTCAATAACTGACCTCGTTTTAGAAACTGTTTGAAGTAAAACATGCCCTTGCGGATCGAATCAACAAAGATATATAAACTCCGTATGGAAATGATGAATACTGCTGCATAAGTAAGGGAATTTGACGATTGAAAAGTTAAAATCAACCAGTTTATCATAGAGCTTGGTTATTAAATTACCATTAACGTCTTTTTCAAGTAAAATATCAACATATGAAACAGATGTTTCAGACTTTGTGGTATCATTAATTTCAAGCTCACCGGGATATATGGTACCGACATAAGAATGGAAGATACCATTTTTAATTAACAAAACGTCGTCTATATTTCTAAATGTCGAATTGAAGGCCATAGCAAGTGTTTTCTTCTTTTCACGCATGCAGAAGATTTTGGACAAATTCTGCCTCATATGAATACAAGAATAGGTCTGCTAATAACAGGGCGCAATTGGTACCCATGGGAATTCCAACTGATTTTTTGGAGACCTGGTCTCCAAAAACAACATAGATATAGTCAATCAGAACTCAAGCATCTTTCTGATGTCAACTTCAGAAAACTCCAAAAACAACATAGATATTGTCAATCAGAACTCAAGCATCTTTCTGATGTCAATTTCAGAGTACTTGTGTGTACAATCGGAATAATGGTAAATCTCTATATAGTCAACAGAGTTTAACCCTATAACACAAGAACCACTGACCCAGGGAGATCGCTCTTCAAAATTTCGAAAGGCATCATTGTTCATCACAACAATTCACTAAGTTATCTGCTAAACACTCAAGAGCAGAAAAGACGTTTTCAAAGATGTATGCATTCATTTTTACCATAAGATCAACCAATAAAGCTAAAAATTAACACTAAACTCTAGACCCGAGGGCCCTGAATTTCACTTTTTTGGCAGTAGTGCTGTTGCTTATAAAGGTTATGCACTTTATCTGATTTTACTATACTCAGGACCATAAACGATTTTCACTTAAACAATGCAATTTTTCTATATGACCAACAAAGTCTCACCTTAACAATAGAACCTCACCCAGGAGTCATGAATTTATTGTATTGGATGAGATACCCTTATACTCAGTATATCCTTGCATTAAATTTATCTGCATAATATCCAGGAGTAGAAAGTAGATTTTTTTAAAGAAAATAAATGTATTTGGTTTATAGAGAGCTCCACTATAACCCTAAATCCAAGGGCTAAGAGTTTCTTGGGTAGAAAGCTCAATGCTTTATACACTTATGCAAAGAGTTTAACTGCTTGATCTCCAGAAATAAAGAAAAAACAGGGGTTTACATTAATTAATTTTGATGATTTCAACCACATTGCTTAGGTCCTTGGGATAGGGACTATTAAATTCACATTGTAATACCCCCTATATCCTATCATATCAAAATTAAATGTTTAGAAAGTTGTCACGGATTCGAAAGTTTTAATTTGTATTTGATTGCTTTTACCCATAAATGCTGCATGCCAAACTTAAAACACGACCCACGACACTTTATATCATTTTTGTTTCTGTTATTTATCTGTTATATAAACGTATTTCTTACTTGCTGTAATTGTTCCATTAATCACATAATCACAAAATCTACAGCACAGACAGACCAGAACTTCCTATTTTCTATTTTGGTATTCTCTGATTTTCTTTTCGTAGTGGAATTGCATTAGTTGTCTGGCAGAAACTATATCTGTTCTTACCCTCTCAAAAGGATCAAACTGTCACATGCATCCTTAGGCGACGTGAGAAAAGAATTGCTTACAAATTATACTGAGGGATTGATTCCGGTAAAATAATAAAATTAATTAGTAACATAGGCTTCTTCTTGAGGCACGGTTACTTAAAAAGATCCAACAATTTATGGAAGGTTGTTTCGTGATCTTGACAGCATATTCAATGTTTTTGACAAGAATGTACAAAGGTTAATATCCTAAACCGATTATTTTCTGATGGGTTTGTCTTTTTTGAGGGGAATTTTGCAAATGGGAAAAATCACAGAAAATTGCAAAATATACATTCTATCAACAGAGGACTTTCTGCTTTATTATGAAATTCAACTGCCTTAAGTAACAAGAGGCCCAGGGGCCACATCGCTCGGCGATGGCTTGGAAAAAGCACATATCAGAGATCAGAACTGAAAGTTTACTGAGGGGGGGGGGCTTGAATTTTAACCCCACAGGGGGTCATGATTTGAACAAACTAGAATCTACACTACCTGAGGATCATTCCCTATAAATGTCAATAAGCATGGCTTTGAAGTACTTGAAAAGAAGATTTTAAATGGTTTCCCTATATTTTCCTATGTAAAACTTTTTTCGGCCATTTGGCCCCACCCTATCCCCGGGGGTCATGATTTGAGCAAACTTGAATCTACACTACCTGAGAATGATTTCACATGAAATTTATCTTTCCTGGCCCTGTGGTTCTTGAGGAGAAGATCTTTAAAGATTTATCCTATAC